GCCGCATGCATCATGGACGTACGAGCGACGTCCATGACCATGCCAATGCGGCGCTCAGCAATCCCATTTTGCTGTGGAGAGTCCGGAAGCGTAAAGGTCTGGCGGATGCCTCGTGCACGACAGTAGGCTCGCAGAAGGCCAGAGGAGAACTCTCCACCTCGGTCAGAGTGCAGACGCAGAACAGGAAAGTCCGAGCCGAAGCTCCTCCTGAGCTGGAGACGAGCTGCGCGGATCCAGTCGATCAACACCTCAGTGACATCACCCTTGCTGCGCAAGGGGAAGACTGTGGTGTAACGCGAGTAGTCGTCAACCACCAGCAGGAAGTAGCGCTCGTGACCCTGCCCACGGACGCGGGCGGGGCCCCACACGTCCATGTGAAGCGTCTGCAGTGGAGCCTCTGTCGGGGGGAACTGGGAGGAGTGAGGGGCAGCCCGGAGCCGCCCCTCGACACAGGGGACACAAGAAGGTCCGGGTCCCGAAGGAAGGGGAGGGAGAGACCGGGGAAGACCAGAGACAAGGACACGGGAAGCCATGCCCCGAAGACGAAGCAAGGAGGGGTGGCCAAGACGGTGGTGCCACAGGAGAGTCTCGTGAGACAAGCGGCGACACGAGCAGGGGGCAGACTCAGGACCAGACCTGGACGCAGCAGCAAACACCTGACCCGACGCAGCTACCTGGCCAGACGCAGGGACAGGAGGAGACGCAGTGGTCAGTGTGTAGAGACTCGACCCCGGCCGACGCGAGAACGTGGCCAGGTGTCGGCCTGTGCGGGCGTCCGAGCAGTGGGTCACCCGCTGACTCGCAGGAGTAAACTGGTGAACCCCCGCATCCTGGAGGTCAGCACCACTCACCAAGTTCGTCGAGAACGAGGGGAGGTACAGACCAGACAAGGTGCCCGAGGGGGCAGCCGGACACGGGAGGACAGTGGAGAAGTGAGAGAGGACTGGACCCCCAGTGGGGTCAGCCAGGGAGACTGCAACCGGCCGGCCAAGCGGCGTGAGTGTGGTGCGGTCTCGAAAGAAGGAGCGAGAAGCCCCTGAGTCAAGCGTGAAGGTGAGGGAGGCCGAAGCCGACGCAGTACCTGAGAGCGCAGCCTCACCAGTACCTGAGAGTGCAGACGCACTGGCACCTAGAGCAGCAGCCTCAGAAGTACCTAGCGTAGCAGTACCAATGCCCGGGTCGGGCGGGAAACACCGGTAACAGTCACCCTCCTCACTAATAGTCACAGCATACATGGCAGCAAGGATAGCATCAAAGTCAAGATCAAAGATAGCTACGCCAGCCCTAGACAGCTCTCCCCAACGGGGAATCTCACTGGCCTCGGGGAACTGCTGACGCCAAGCGTCCGTCAGGCGGCCAAAGCAGCGCTGAGTGGGGTGCGCACCCCCACACTGCTCACCCGCGCGGTCACCGGAACGAAGGACGTAGGTGCACGGACCAAAACCCCCACCCCGCTGACGCTGCGTGTACCACTCACGGAGCTGCTGGGGCGGGGGGATGTCCCGCGAACGCTGCTGCTGCTGCTGCTGCTGCTGACGCTGGCCACCACTAGGGCCGCTACGCTGCGGGGCACCACCCCGACCAGCTCCACCCCCTCCGCCACCGCTGCCTCCACCTCCACCACCACCGCTGCCTCCGCTCCCACCGATGCCGCCACCACCGCCTCCTCCTCCGCTGCTGCCACCGCCACCACCGCCCCCGCCACCACTCCCACCGTCACCCCCACTCCCTCCTCCGCCTCCACCGCCTCCTCTACCGCCCCCGCCAGCTCCACCCGCGCCCTTGCCCCCCTTGCCCCTGCCAGGGCGGCGTCTCCCGCTAGGGGCAGACGCCGCGCAGACCGACTCAAGACCAAGCAGGTCGGCAGCAGCAGCAGAGGCAACAGAGGGCAGCAGGGGGGAAGGAGAGCACCCCTCAAAGATGGGGGTGCGAGGGTCACCACGAGAGGCTCCTACAGCGACGATGCTCTTCTCCGCCGCCAGGAGGGACTTCTCGAGGAGGTCGACAGTGAGAGTGGTGGGACAGACCGAGAGGTAGTGGTCCCTGACTACGCGAAGGGAGTCAGGGAGGCGTGTGACTATGTAATAGAGAGTGATGTACATGGGGGGGGGGTTCTTGGCGCAGAACTCAGCAGGAAGGGCGGCGCGGTAGCGAGTGTCACTAGTGCGGAGGTGCGTAATGAGGTCAGCGACAGTGGGAAAGGCAGTAAGGTCAGGAAAGAGGTACGGTAGCATGAGGCGGCTCAGGGCAGCAGTGGCAGGGGAAGAGTAGCACGCAACTACAGCGTCGTACAAGGTCTGAGCACTCTTGTACTGACTAAAGTGCGCGCGCTCAGTGGTAGGCAGGTGGCGACGCACAGCAAGACGTGCAGCAGCATCGCGGGTGGCCCACTGAGAGCGAACAGTGGGGTCAGCATCAGTAGCAGGGGCAGGAGAGGCGCCAGAGGTGAGGTCAAAGAGGGAAAGACCGTCCGCCCTATCGCACTGTAAGAACAGCTGCAGGTCGTCGACCCAGACCTCAAAGTCAATGGCTCGACCCTCAGCGTCAAAAGCGAGGACACTAGGGGTAGCCATGACGACGACAGACGAGCAGTGCAAGTAGTAGGGGAAGGGCACGCAGTGACAGTGGGGCTGTGCTCACCGGACAGGGCAGGTCGGGCGGCTCGGCAGTAGGGCGGCTCGGCTGCTCAGCGGCTCGGCGGCAGGGCGGCTCGGCTGCTGGGCGGCTCGGCTGTTGGGCGGCTCGGCGGCAGTGCGGCTCGGCTCCCGGGCGGCTCGGCGGCAGGGCGGCTCGGCTCCCGGGCGGCTCGGCGGCAGGGCGGCTCGGCTCCCGGGCGGCTCGGCGGCAGGGCGGCTCGGCTCCCGGCGGTTCTGCTGCTAGGCGGCTCCCGCAGGTAGGGCGGCGGTAGGGCCGCAGGTAGGGCGGCGGGCGGGCCGTAGGTAGGGCGGTGGGGGGGGCCGTAGGTAGGGCAGCGGGCTGGCCGCAGGTAGGGTGGCGGGCGGGCCGCAGATAGGGCGGCGGTAGGGCCGCAAGTAGGGCGGCGGGCGGGCCGCAGGTAGGGCAGCGGGCGGGCCGCGACGTGAGGGCGGCGGGGCCGCTGTAGTGGGGCGGCGGGGCCGCTTAGCAGAGGGCGGCGGGGCCGCGTGAGCAGGGCGGCGGGGCCGCGAAGCAGAGGGCGGCTGGGCCGCGCGAGCAGGGCGGCGGGGCCGCGAAGGAAGGGCGGCAGGGCCGCGTTAGTAGGGCGGCGAGGCCGCGAAGGAAGGGCGGCAGGGCCGCGTGAGCAGAGTGGCGGGGCCGCGAAGGGAGGGCGGCGGGGCCGCGAGGGGCGACACGGAGGGTCGCTAAAAAAAAAAAAAAAAAAAGGAAAACGCGCCTCGGGGCGCGCTTCGGTGGGCCCTAGAAGCAGTCCCTAGGAGGGGACCTGCTCTGATTCCATGTGAAATGAAGAACGAGAATGTTTGAACTATGAATGAAGTGAGTACATATGGGAAACCCTAATTGGGTTGTACCCCTTATGGGATACCCCACTATAGCCTACACAACAGCATAAGCTATATAATGTTCTGACACTACTAGCATGCTTCTCATCCCGTCAGTTGGGGCATACGGGGGACCGAGAGGCATTCTTCCTCTTCCCCAAAGCTAGGCCTACGGCCATACTTTATTACCTTATCCTAGGGGACCGAGAGGCATTCTTCCTCTTCCCCAAAGCTAGGCCTATGGCCAAATTCTACCACCCTATCCTAGGGCTGGCCATGGCCACCGCAAGCCCTACTAGGCTGCCCACGGTCTAAGCACTCAAGAGTGCACCGTGCATCGCGCCTAGTGGCGCGCTTCACCATAGCCCGAACCCTACACAACCGGTGCGGGTCCTTGGCCCCCATGCCTATTCCGAGGGCAGGCATTGGCGACGTGGCCTGGCTGGCCGCAGCGGAAACACGAACCACGAAAGCCTTGGAAGTTGCCCGAGGTTGGAGGGCCACGTTTTGGAGCGAACGCCATGGCGCCGTGGTTTCCACCACGGTGGGAGCGAGCGTGAGCGCCCGCCGCTCGGTCCATGGCAGCCACGTCTGCGACGGCTTGCTTGAACGGCCGCGAGGTGAGAAGACTTTTCTGCAGGTACATTTTGTAGCGCTTGGCCACGCGGTCGTCGGCGGCGTCTTCGACTTGAAACATGTCGAAGCGCGCGGAAATGTCGTCGAGGGCGGCGACGACCATTTCGAGTCCGCCCGCCAAGTCGCCGTGCTGCAGCTTGTACTCTGCGTGTTTCAGGTAAGCCCGCATGTCCTCCAGAATTTCCGCTTTCGCCCGCACGTGCGCGTCGTTGAACGTCGCCGCCGACCAAGTGGTGTTAGTAGTAGAGGGGAGGGGGGGAAGATGCTCCATGGAATTAAAATTTGTGGTATGGACCGGAGCCTCACCATCATCGTCATCGGAGCCGGTTGCAATGAGAACGATGCCAAATTATAAGGACAAGAAAGCAAGCTTTCTCAATATGGTTGCTATATGGTTGCAAGAATGGTTGGTATCATTCCAATTACAGTATCTTGTCAGGAAGGAATCAATGGATGTTTACCTATAATGGTCGATTATCTACTATCTAAATTGCGTTTGAAAGGATTTTGAACACATATGAGATTTATGATACCGTAGTTACTGCCCAAGTGGAAAGCAGCTGCCTTGTCCGAAATACTTGCACCTGCTGTCAAACAGCTAGAACAGCTGCTCATCACAAACCATAAAAAACTACCAGTACCTACTTAGTCAACTCAATATACAGGACCCTTCCAGAAAATGCGTTACTACAAAAGCAGGCATGTGCAAGCATCCTGTCACGCTGAGAGTATGCCGTGCCACCCAGCCAGGGTACATACATGTTGACTCTTCAAGCCCCCCTCTCAGCTGCTGGGAAGACGTCACATCACTCAAGTACCACAGATGTGTAAACACCCATGTTGACCTGCCATGTGTAAGACTCAAAATACGTATGTCACCCGACGCTACGTGGACTTCTCGAGCTCGGCTCTGAGCTGCTGTGAGAAGTCATCGTTGACGTCATCGTCGTCCCAGTCGTCCTCCCACTGGTGCACCACCTCCACGTCCTGTGCGCTCTCGTCCCAGTCTGTGACATACGGAGGATTGGAAGGGTGGGATGGTGAAGGAAGGAAGGGGAAAAGCCATGCCAGTCCTCCTCCCACTGATGCACCCCCTCCACGTCCTGCGCAGCCTCGTCCCAATCTGCAAAGGGAGGGGGGAAAGAGAAGGGGTGGGGGAATGGGGGAACGGGAGGAGAAGAGTTGAGTGTCATACCAGTTGTTCTCCGATCCGTGCACCCACTCCATGTCCCACGCGGCCTCGTCCAAATCTGCAGCATAGAGGGAGGGGGGAAAGGGTAGAGGGAAAAGGAGAAGGGGGAGAGGTGGGGTGAGGAAGGAATGGAGGAGAGTGCAGAGCCATGCCAGTGGTCCTCCTCCTCCCATTGATGCACCCCCTCCACGTCCTGTGCGGCTTCGTCCCACTCTGCACCATACCAAAGAAGATGGGGAGGGGGAGGGGGGGGAGGGGGGGGGGAGGAGGGGGACGGGGGGACGAGGGAGAGTTGAGAATCATGCCGAGCTGTCCTCCCACGGGCGCACAACGAACACGTCCTGCGCGGCCTCGTCCCGGCCTGTGAGACAGAGAGGCGGGCAGGGCAGGCAGGTGGAAGAGAAACGAAGGGATGGAGTGAAGGGAGGAGAAGAGGGCACCCAACTGGTGCACGAGGGGGCAACATAGAGGAGTGGAGGGCGAGGGGGGCCAGGGGAGATGCGGGGAGGGGGAGGGGGAAGGGGTGGTGGAACGGGAGGAGGAGAAGAGCGCAACGTCAAGCCGGTCGTCCTATTGCTGGTGGTGAACCACCGCCCCCGCACGACTGCGTGCTCTCGTCCCAATCCGCAGCATGGATGTGGGGAGTAGAATATGTGCACCACGAGAAAGGTCAAGCGGGGTTCACCTCACCCGTCACAACACGGATGTCAGGTGGGATGCACATGCGATGAAGCACCAGGATCCCAGCCGGCACGCATCACAAGGGCATACGGGGAGGTTACACGGGACACCCGGAATCAGCAAGGATTCGGGTGTTGGGAGGCACACGGAACTCATACGTCGCAACAAAGACTATTGTGTCCTGGGAGCAACAAGATTATTCCAGGAACGCAAAGTTTCCACTTGTGGAGGGAAAACTGAAAATCATATCTACAGGCAAGGGTTGACTGAAACACACTCACGTGAAATCAAGATGTCAAACGGGATTTCCGAAAATATGGTCCTTACTCACGGCAATCAGCGTCATAGTACGCGGCCAGGACTATCTGAATAGGAAGGATCTTTACCGCAGAACCAAATTGCGAGACGTGATCTATAAACTCGTTCGCCCGTAAGACGCACCTTCATTCTCGAACTCCTCGAATTCGTCGTCGTCCTCAAAGACATCCATTTTGACGTCCTCCGGTGTTTGCTTCGGCTCCGGCTGTCCCGCCATCTAGCCTCGTCAAAAGTGTGCTTGATTGATCTAAGAACGACGGTAAAGCAACGCGGATGCACAGAAGGACAATCAACAAACGAATCTAGGAGCCGAACTGATGACAAGGTCGGAATGCTTTGATTCGATGCAGGAATATGATTTTTGCGAGTTTCAGATGCCACGAGAGTGCTTTGATGAAAGCCGGTTTGGGAAACGCTGAAAATATACTCTATATTGTAAAATAGAGAGACAGAGATCATACGTTGAGGTATAATGAAGCAATTTCCAGTAACTATGCCAGAACAAGCTTACGCAATTTGTTTTTTTACAATCAAAATAGATATGGAACACCATGGATCGGCAAAATTTTCACATATATTATTAATTTATAAAAAAAAATATGCATCACGGAGAATTTTAACCATGTCAATAATTTATATTAACCTAAATGATAATTTTTGTAAGTGTAATGAAATGTAACACTTTCTAAAAATTTGTATTCTGAAAAGGGGTACGTGGCCAACACAGCAAAGGTAGCGCCGAAGCGCTACTCACCCTCTTTTGCCTACAAAAGAGGGACGTGGGGGCATTCGTCCCCACCCACGTTTTTATTTCCGAAATTGTAATTCTAATTTCGTTCTCGTCCACACTAGCGAAGACTCAGTCGCTTCCGCGTTTCACGGCCCCGTCAACGCTCCTTAACAACATCCTTAAGCGGAACCTTGCAACGATGGCTCTGGTCAACCCGGCACTTAACCGCGACAACTTGAATATTTCAAGCCCCGGTAACGCAGCGGAAACCTCGACTCCGGCCGGGACAACGGATCGTCGCAGAAAACGCCCCGCTGAAGAAATTTCAAGTGAGGGACCTTCGGCGGTCGACCTCCTGCTCGGAGGCACCCTTCGGACCCCTCCTGAGGAACGTGCGACTGTTGCTGAAGAGCGCGTGCCACGCAGAAGACGACGACCGCCGCTGATGCGACAGCCGTCTTGACCACCGCTGACGCAGGTCCATCCGGGCCCACGACCCAGAAATGCCAGCGCGCGGCACCCTCCGCTGACATCACGCCGGTCAACGCCCCCCCCCCCCCCCCCCCCCCCCCCCCCCCCCCCCCCCCTCCTTTGACTACACAGCAGCTGCAGTCGCTGCTGTTGTTATTGCAGCAGCACGCGCCATCGACTACAGCTACATCGACCGAAGATATTTTTGCTTCCGCTAAAATTGAAAAGCAGAAGGAACCTGTCGCGCCCCCCCGCTCCACCAAGGTCGCTCGCACCAACAACGCTGCTCCTGCTCCCCCCCCCGGCTCTGGCACCAACCCAAGCCCGTATCCCCGACGACAGCGACGACTCGGAAAATGAAGACGGTGAGGCCCCCGACAACCTTGCTTGCCGTTGCATTCTCGCACCCGCACCCCCCCCCCCCCCCCCCTACACCCGCAGCTACTACCTTCATGCGCAAGGGAGTGCGTGACCAGGCGGAGGTATTCTGTGCAATTCAAGCTCACCAGAGGCACGTCGAGTTCAAGCTCCAACACGGCGACGTCGAAGGTGTCAGTAGATCTGCACTGTGGATGCCCGATTGATCCTACGGGAGGTTACAGGCGCAGTGTCAGAGGTCCACTGGTGATCCCTGATTGATCCTAGGGAAGGGTTACAGGCTCGTCGTCCTGGGGGGTTATGGGCGCACTGACCCGCTACTTAACAAGCCCTTTTATCCCAGTGGGTTAGTGACTGGGATTATGACATGGTATTAGAGCGAAGGTCTCGGGTTCGAATCCCAGTGCGTGCATTTCGGGCATCCCAGTGCGGGGGGGTGTCAGAGGTCCACTGGTGATCCCTGATTGATCCTAGGGAAGGGTTACAGGCTCGTCGTCCTGGGGGGTTATGGGCGCACTGACCCGCTACTTAACAAGCCCTTTTATCCCAGTGGTCTAGTGACTGGGATTCTGACACGCAGTCGCCTAGGGGGTTATAGGCGCAGAAACCCGCTACACAAACAAGCCCTTTTATCCCATTGGTCTGGTGGTTGGGATTTTGACATGGTATCAGAGCGGTCCCGGTGTATGCACATGTAGGCAGTTGCCGCTGTGCTCACTCATGGGCCTCCCAGTGTGGGGGGGTGTCAGTAGATCTGCACTGTGGATGCCCGATTGATCCTATGGGGGGTTACAGGCGCGTTCGCCTAGGGGTTATGGGCGCACAAACCCGCTACATAAACAAGCCCTTTTATCCCAGTGGTCTAGTGGTTGGGATTCTGACAGAGGGCTGTCAAACTTATATCTGCTATAGTCTATTTAGGCTGTAGTGGGGTAGTTCTTAGAGGGTACAACACTTGTGTTTTCTACTTGTACCCATCTCAGTTTCTAGTTGATTCATTCTTTCGTCAATTATCTCACATGGTATAGAGCTAGTTTCGAGTTTTTTTTTTGAAAGGGCCCACCACTGAAATTATTCTTACCTGCTCGACGCGCGCGTCGCGCCTGCCCTTCGAGGCCCGTAGCGGCCCCTGCGCCTGCCCTTAGAGCCAGCGCCGGCCCCGTAAGGCCCCGTTTCCGGCCCCGTTTCCGGCCCTGTAAGGCCCTGTAAGGCCCTGTTTCCGGCCCCGTAAGGCCCCGTTTACGACCCCGTTTAAGGCTCCGTAAGGCCCCGTAAGGCCCCGTTTACGGCCCCGTTTAAGGCCCCGTAAGGCCCCGTAAGGCCCCGTAAGGCTCCGTAAGGCCCCGTAAGGCCCCGTTTACGGCCCCAAGGCCCCGTAAGGCCCCGTTTAAGGCCCCGTAAGGCCCCGTCAGGCCCCGTTTAAGGCCCCGTTAGGCCCCGTAAGGCCCCGTAAGGCCCTGTAAGGCCCCGTCAGGCCCCGTTTGCGGCCCCGTCAGGCCCCGTAAGGCCCCGTCAGGCCCCGTTAGAGGCCCCGTACGGCCCCGTCAGGCCCCGTTAGCGGCCCCGTCAGGCCCCGTAAGGCCCCGTCCGGCCTCGCCCCGACCCTGTCTCGGCCCTGCCCCGGCCCTGCTCCTGCACTGCCGCGGCCCGGCCCCGGCCCTGCCCCGGACCTGTCGCGGCCTCGCCCCGGCCCTGTCCCGGCCCTGCTCCGACCCTGCCCCGGCCCTGCACAGGCCCTGCCCCGGCCCTGCCCCGGCCCTGCCCCCTGCCCCGGCCTTGCTCCGACCCTGCCCCGGCCCTGCCCCGGCCCTGCCCCGGCCCTGCCCCGGCCCTGCCCCGGCCCTGCCCCGGCCCTGCCCCCTGCCCCGGCCCTGCTCCGACCCTGCCCCGGCCCTGCCCCGGCCCTGCCCCGGCTCTGCCCCGGCCCTGCCCCTGCCCTGCTCCTGCACTGTCGCGGCCCTGCCCAACCCGGCCCCGGATCTTTTGCGGCCCGGCCCCGGCCCTACCCCGGCCCTGCCCCGGCCTCGCCACTGGTAAGAGCGCCGCGCTGCCGAGCCGCGCCGCCCTGCCGAGCCGCGCCGCCCTGCCTAGCCTGCCCTGCCGAGTTGCACTGCTGCTGCTGCTAGCCTGCTACTGCTCCTGTCATGGCTAGTCTCAATGTTCTTACCTTTGATGCTGAGGGTCGAGCTGTTGACTTTGAGGTCTGGCTAGATGATCTGCAGCTTTTCCTACAGTGCGATAGCAAGGATGGCCTCTCACTGTTCGATCTCACGTCAGGCGCCTCTACTGCCCCTGCTGCTGATGCTGACAGTACTGTTCGCTCGCAGTGGCTCACGCGCGATGCTGCTGCTCGTCTTGCTGTGCGTAATCACCTGCCGTCTACTGAGCGCACGCACTTTAGTCAGTACAAGAGTGCTAGGGCTCTGTACGACGCTGTAGTTGCACGCTACTCCTCCCCTACCACTGCTGCCCTCAGCCGCCTCATGCTGCCGTACCTTTTTCCTGACCTTGCCGCCTTTGCCACAGTTGCTGACCTAGTTGCTCACCTCCGCACTAGTGACGCTCGCTACCGCGCTGCCCTTCCCACTGAGTTTCTTCCCACGAACTCCCCCCCCATGTACATCACCCTTTACTACCTAGTCACCCGCCTCCCTGACTCTCTCTCCTCAGTCAGGGATCACTTCCTCTCCCTTTGCCCCACCGAGCTGACTGTCGACTTGCTAGAGGAGCGCCTTGCTGCAGCTGAGAAGAGTATCTTAGCTGTCGGTGCTTCTCGCGGCGACCGTCGCACCCCCTTCTTTGAGGGGTGTTCCCCTGTCCCCCTTCTCCCCTCTGTTGCCTCTGCTGCTGCTGTCGACCTCGTTGGCACTGAGGAGGTCGGCGCTGCGTCTACTGCCCCTAGTGGGCGACGCCGCACTGGCAAGGGCAAGGGAAGCAGGGGTGGTGGAGGGGGCGGTGGAGGCAGCGGTGGAGGATGTGGAGGAGGTGGAGGTGGTGGTGGGGGTGGTTCCGGGAGTGGGGGCGTCGGTGGCGGCAGTGGAGGCTGTGGCGGCGGTGGCGGAGGAGGTGGCGGCGGCGGCACCGGTGGTGGAGGTAGCGGAGGAGGTGGTGCTGGTCGCGGAGCGGCCACGCAGCGTGGAGGCCTTGGTGGCAGCCAGCGTCAGCAGCAGCTGCGCACCCGTGAGACCCCGTCTGTTCAGCAGCTTCGTGAGTGGTACGCTGGGCGTGGGAGGTCTGGGGGTGCAGGTCCCTGCACGTACGTTCTTCGCACCGGCACTCGTAGTGGGGAGGTGTGTGGTCTCCCACACACCACGCAGCGCTGCTTCGGCCGCTTGACTGACGCCTGGCGTACCCAGTTTCCTGACGCTGTTGAGCTTCCTCGTTGGCATGATCTGCTTCTGCAGAATGTGCCTATCTTTGATCTAGACTTTGATGCTATCCTTGCTGCCATGTATGCTCTTGCTGATATTACTGAGGGTGACTGTTACCTGCGTGTCCCGCCCGACCCGGGCACTGTGGCTGCTGCTCTAGGTGCTAGTGCGTCTGCTGCTCCAGGTGCTTGTGCGGCTGCTGCTCTAGGTGCTAGTGCGTCTGCTGCTCCAGGTGCTGGTACGTCTCCTCTCTCTGGTACTACACCTACTGCGTCCTTTCACACTTTCACACTTGACTCTGGTGCTCCGCGCTCTTTCTTTAGAGACAGCACCACGCTCACGCCGCTCAGTCGGCCTGTTGCGGTCTCCCTTGCTGACCCCTCAGGGGGCCCAGTACTTGCACACTCCTCCACTGTCCCACCGTGTCCTGCAGCCCCGTCGGGCTTGCTGTCGGGACTCCACCTCCCCTCGTTCTCTACGAACCTGGTAAGTGGAGCTGACCTCCAGGACGCGTGGGTTGACCAGTTCACCCCTGGAGGTCAGCGTGTGACCCACTGCACTTGCTCTCGGACGGGCTGCCACCTGGCCACGTTCACCCGTCGGCCAGGGTCGAGTCTGTACACACTGACTACTGCGCCTCCTCCGGTCTCTGCGTCTGGTCAGGTAGCTGCGTCCAGTCAGGTGTTTGCTGCCGCGTCCAGGTCTAGTCCTGCGTCTGCCCCCTGCTCGTGTCGTCCTCTGGCACACGAGACTCTCCTTTGGCACCACCGCCTTGGTCACCCCTCCCTGCCTCGTCTTCGAGGTATGGCCTCCCGTGCCCTTGTCTCGGGTCTACCCAGGTCCCTTCCTCCCCTTCCTCCGGGGCTTGCCCCCACCTGTGTTCCGTGTGTCGAGGGCCGACAGCGTGCCGCCCCTCACTCCTCCTCGTTTCCTCCGACTAAGGCTCCTCTGCAGACTCTTCACATGGACGTGTGGGGCCCAGCCCGCGTCCGTGGACAGGGTCACGAACACTACTTCCTCCTGGTCGTTGACGACTACTCGCGTTACACCACAGTCTTCCCCTTGCGCAGCAAGGGTGAGGTTCCTGAGGTGTTGATCGACTGGATCCGCGGTGCTCGTCGCCAGCTCAGTGAGAGTTTCGGCTCCGACCTTCCTGTTCTGCGTCTGCACTCCGACCTAGGTGGGGAGTTTTCCTCCGACCTCCTGAGAGCCTTCTGCGTTCGGAGGGCATCCGCCAGAGGTTCACGCTTCCGGCCTCCCCGCAGCAAAATGGGATTGCTGAGCGCCGCATTGGCATGGTCATGGATGTCGCTCGTACGTCCATGATCCATGCGGCTGCTCCCCATTTTCTGTGGCCGTTCGCGGTTTAGTACGCTGCACATCAGATCAACCTTCAGCCTCGTGTCTCCTTGCCGGAGACCACACCTACTCTGCGGTGGACGGGGAAGGTTGGCGATGCGTCCGCGTTCCATGTCTGGGGATCTTGAGCTTTTGTCCGCGATACTACAGCGGACAAGCTGTCCTCCCGTGCCGTTCCCTGTGTCTTCCTTGGCTTCCCTCCTGACGCACCCGGGTGGCAGTTCTACCACCCCACCTCGCGTCGTGTTCTGTCCTCTCAGGACGTCACGTTCGACGAGTCGGTGTCGTACTACCGTCTCTTTCCCTACCGCACTGCCTCTCCCCCCCCCCCCCCGCCACTCTTCCCAGGTACTCCCCTGGTAGACCCCCTCCTCCCCCAGGGTCCTGCCCCCTCAGGTGTGTCCCAGGTAGACCCTGCCGAGCCGGTCGAGGTAGCTGTCGACTCAGGTGCTGCTAGGGGTGCTGAGTCTGGGGGTGCTGAGACTGGGGGTGCTGAGTCTGGGGGTGCTGAGACTGGGGGTGCTGAGTCTGGGGGTGCTGAGACTGGGCGTGCTGAGCCTGGGGGTGTGGAGCCTGAGGGTACTGTGTCTGGAGGTACTGAGCCTGCGCGTGCTGCGTCTGGAGGTGCTCTAGGTGTCCCGTTGCGGCGGGAGCCCCTCTCTCCACAGCGTCTTCGTGAGTGGTACTCTCGGCGCTGTCGGGTTGCTGCTGGTGCTGCTGGTGCTGGGGCTGCTGGAGGTACTGGAGGCGCTACTGGAGCTACTGGAGGTGCTGGCGCTGCTGGAGGTGGTGCTGGTGCTGGAGCTGCTGGAGGTGCTGCTGGTGCTGGAGCTGCTGGAGGTGCTGCTGGTGCTGGAGCTGCTGGAGGTGCTGCAGGTGCTGGTGCTGCTGGAGGTGCTGCTGGAGCTGCTGGAGGTGCTGCTGGGACTGGAGGCCCTGGGGCTGAGGGTACCGGTTCTGTCTCTGCTGTCTCTGGAGGCGCTGCGCGGCCGCGGCCGTACTACGTTCCGCTTCTTCAGCAGGTTCTTGGCTCCCCGCCTTCTCCTGGTCCTCCTCCTCCTTTCCTGAGTCCACCGCCTGTCCAGTCCCAGTCGCAGTTGCAGCCGGCCTCTCCGCTGCCTGGTCCTTCTCCTTACTCTGGTCCGACTCGAGGTCTTACGGAGCGTCGTGAGCCTGAGTCTCGTCCTGTGTCGCCTGAGTCTCGTTCTGCGTCGCCTGTCCGTCCTGTTCGCGCTGGTCGTGTTTCGCGTCCGCGTCTTCCTCCTGTCCCAGGCACTCACTCTATGACACTGCGTCCTTCTACTGCTCCACAGCGTGTCTCTCTGCCCTCTCCTCCTGCGTCCTCTCTTCCTGACGGTCCGGACCCGGATTCTGACTCCCTTCGTGCTGCTAGTCTTACTGTCACGCGCTTTCTGGCCACTGCTGTCACTGACCCTCTGTTTGAGTCCTCTGCTGCGTCTGCTCTTGTTGCTGAGCTTGTTGACTTTGCTGCAGCCTATCGCCTAGACTACGCCTCTAGTCTTGTTGCTGAGTTTGCGTCTGCGTCTGTCTGTCCTCCGTCCGTCGGGGGTGAGTATGCTCTTGGCACGGACGTCCTTGAGGACAGACAGGAGGACCTTGAGTGTTTTGCTGCTGCTTCACCTCATCTCGTGTCCATGCTGCTTGCCCCTGAGGGAGACCCGGATGCACTAGACATCCAGACCCCGCGCTCTTACGCAGAGGCGATAGAGGGTCCCTACTCCTCTCAGTGGCAGGCAGCCATGGACGCAGAGATGGCTTCCTGGAAGTCCACAGGCACCTACGTAGACGAGGTTCCCCCACCTGGGGCGAACATCGTCAGTGGCATGTGGATCTTCAGGGTGAAGCGGCCGCCGGGTTCTCCGCCTGCCTTCAAGGCGCGTTACGTTGCACGTGGCTTCAGTCAGCGACAGGGAGTTGACTTCTTTCAGACCTTCTCCCCTACCCCGAAGATGACCACTCTTCGGGTACTGCTGCACGTTGCTGCTCAGCGTGACTACGAGCTCCACTCGCTTGACTTCAGCACAGCCTTCCTACAGGGCAGCCTGCACGAGGAGATCTGGCTGCGCCGCCCACCTGGCTTCACTGGGTCGTTTCCTCCTGGTACCCAGTGGAGCCTCCGGCGGCCAGTCTACGGTCTCCGCCAGGCGCCCCATGAGTGGCACGACACGCTCAGGACGACTCTTGCTGCTCTTGGTTTTGCTCCTTCCACTGCTGACCCTTATCTGTTTCTACGCACTGACGCTACTCTGCCGCTGTTCTACGTTCTTGTGTACGTAGACGACCTTGTCTTTGCTACTGCTGACACGGAGGCACTCGCCCACGTGAAGTCCGAGCTGCAGAAGAGACACACGTGCACAGACCTGGGTGAGCTCACAAGCTATCTTGGCTTGCGGATCACCCGGGACAGAGCACAGCGCACCATTACCTTGACTCAGTCACACATGGTGCAGCAGGTCCTTCAGCGCTTCGGCTTCACGTACTCCTCGCCACAGTCCACTCCTCTGCCTACCGGTCACTCGCTCTCAGCTCCACCTTCGGACGAGTCCGTAGAGCCGAGTGGCCCGTATCCAGAGCTTGTGGGCTGCCTCATGTACCTGATGACTTGCACACGACCTGACCTCGCATACCCTCTCAGCCTTCTGGCTCGCTACGTGGCTCCCAGTAGGCACCGAAAGGTGCACTGGGATGCTGCGAAGAGGGTGTTGCGATACTTGTGCAGTACATCGGGCATGGGGCTCGTGCTTGGAGGACGGGCTCGAGTTGTCCTCACTGGTCACGCTGACGCCTCCTGGGTTGACGACTTGGCTACGCAGCGGTCGTCACAGGGCTACACCTTCAGTCTTGGCTCCGGTTCTGTCTCTTGGCGGTCTACCCGCTCTTCTTCTGTTCTCAGCTCCAGTTGTGAGGCTGAGATCTACGCTGGAGCCATGGCTGCACAGGAGCTTCGCTGGCTCACCTACCTGCTGACCGACTTGGGAGAGGCACCTCGGTCTCCTCCAGTTCTGTACGTCGACAACAAGGCCATGCTGGCCTTGTGTCAGGAGCACAGACTGGAGCACAGAACGAAGCACATTGCTCTGCGCTACAACTCTCGAGCAAGGAAGTAGCGCAGAGCAATGTGCTTCGTTCTGTGCTCCAGACTGTGCTCCTGACACAAGGCCAGCATGGCCTTGTTGTCGACGTACAGAACTGGAGGAGAACGAGGCGCCTCTCCCAAGTCGGTCAGCAGGTAGGTGAGCCAGCGAAGCTCCTGTGCAGCCATGGCCCCAGCGTAGATCTCAGCCTCACAACTGGAGCTGAGAACAGAAGAAGAGCGGGTAGACCGCCAGGAGACAGAACCGGAGCCAAGGCTGAAGGTGTAACCCTGTGACGACCGCTGCGTAGCCAAGTCGTCAACCCAGGAGGCGTCAGCGTGACCAGTGAGGACAACTCGAGCCCGTCCTCCAAGCACGAGCCCCATGCCCGATGTACTGCACAAGTATCGCAACACCCTCTTCGCAGCATCCCAGTGCACCTTTTGGTGCCTGCCGGGAGCCACGTAGCGAGCCAGAAGGCTGAGAGGGTATGCGAGGTCAGGTCGTGTGCAAGTCATCAGGTACATGAGGCAGCCCACAAGCTCTGGATATGGGCCACTCGGCTCTACGGACTCGTCCGAAGGTGGAGCTGAGAGCGAGTGACCGGTAGGCAGAGGAGTGGACTGTGGCGAGGAGTAGGTGAAGCCGAAGCGCTGAAGGACCTGCTGCACCATGTGTGACTGAGTCAAGGTAATGGTGCGCTGTGCTCTGTCCCGGGTGATCCGCAAGCCAAGATAGCTTGTGAGCTCACCCAGGTCTGTGCACGTGTGTCTCTTCTGCAGCTCGGACTTCACGTGGGCGAGTGCCTCCGTGTCAGCAGTAGCAAAGACAAGGTCGTCTATGTACACAAGAACGTAGAACGGCGGCAGAGTAGCGTCAGTGCGTAGAAACAGAGAAGGGTCAGCAGTGGAAGGAGCAAAACCAAGAGCAGCAAGAGTCGTCCTGAGCGTGTCGTGCCACTCACGGGGCGCCTGGCGGAGACCGTAGACTGGCCGCCGGAGGCTCCACTGGGTACCAGCAGGAAACGACCCAGTGAAGCCAGGTGGGCGGCGCAGCCAGATCTCCTCATGCAGGTTGCCGTGTAGGAAGGCTGTGCTGAAGTCAAGCGAGTGGAGCTCGTAGTCACGCTGAGCAGCAACGTGCAGCAGTACCCGAAGAGTGGTCATCTTCGGGGTAGGGGAGAAGGTCTGAAAGAAGTCAACTCCCTGTCGCTGACTGAAGCCACGTGCAACGTAACGCGCCTTGAAGGCAGGCGGAGAACCCGGCGGCCGCTTCACCCTGAAGATCCACATGCCACTGACGATGTTCGCCCCAGGTGGGGGAACCTCGTCTACGTAGGTGCCTGTGGACTTCCAGGAAGCCATCTCTGCGTCCATGGCTGCCTGCCACTGGGAGGAGTAGGGACCCTCTATCGCCTCTGCGTAAGAGCGCGGGGTCGGGATGTCTAGTGCATCCGGGTCTCCCTCAGGGGCAAGCAGCATGGACACGAGATGAGGTGAAGCAGTAGCAAAGCACTCAAGGTCCTCCTGCCTGTCCTCAAGGACGTCCGTGCCAAGAGCACACTCACCCCCGACGGACGGAGGACAGACAGACACAGACGCAGACTCAGCAACAAGACTAGCGGCGTAGTTTAGGCGACAGGCTGCAGCAAAGTCAACAAGCTCAGCAACAAGAGCAGACGCAACAGAGAACTCAAACAGGGGGTCAGTGACAGCAGTGGCCAGAAAGCGCGTGACAGTAGGACTAGCAGCACGAAGGGAGTCAGACTCCGGGTCCGGACCGTCAGGAAGAGAGGACGCAGGAGGAGAGGGCAGAGGGACACGCTGTGGAGCAGTGGAAGGACGCAGAGTCATAGAGTGAGTGCCAGGGACAGGAGGAAGACGCGGACGCGAAACACGACCATCGCGATCAGAACGGACAGGCGACGTAGAACGAGACGCAGGCGACACAGGACGCGACTCAGGCTCACGACGCTCCGTAAGACCTCTAGTCGGACCAGAGTAAGGAGAAGGACCAGGCAGCGGAGAGGCCGGCTGTAACTGCGACTGAGACGGGACAGGCGGTGGACTCAGGGAAGGAGGAGGAGGACCAGGAGAAGGTGGGGAGCCAAGAACCTGCTGAAGAAGCGGAACGTAGTACGGCCGCGGCCGCGCAGCGCCTCGAGAAACAGCAGAGACAGAACCGGTACCCTCAGCCTCAGGGTCTCCAGTCCTAGCAGCACCTCCAGCAGCTCCAGCACCAGCAGCACCTCCTGTAGCTCCAGCACCAGCACCACCTCCAGCAGCACCAGCAGCTCCAGCACCAGCACCACCTCCAGCAGTGCCAGCACCTCTAGTAGCTCCAGTAGCACCTCCAGCACCAGCAGCACCTCCAGCAGCTCCAGCACCAGCAGCACCTCCAGCAGCTCCAGCACCAGCACCACCTCCAGCAGCGCCAGCACCTCCAGCAGCACCCGCACCAGCAGCACCTCCAGCAGCAACCCGACAGCGCCGAGAGTACCACTCACGAAGCCGCTGTGGAGAGAGGGGCTCCCGCCGCGACGGGACACCCAGAGCACCTCCAGACTCAACACGTGCAGGCTCGTGACCCTGTCTGTTATAGTCACAATAGGCTTGAATGTGCCTAAAACGAAAGATAGAGAGCACAGACGGATTTCTGCACAGCGGCTTCAAACGTTGATAGCGTTCTGCTCACAGCTGCAAATGACTTGATTCAAATGGGATCTGGAGCGTCTTCACGTCGTCTACAATTAGCAATTTAGATTGCACGATTTGATAAAGAATTGACGACACAGCGTCGGTTTGAACGAACGGTACTATGGCAGCCACTATAGTCTTAGAACACAAGATAGGAAGAGTTACGAGTTGGGAATGACTCCCAGCTCCTACAAACCCCAAGAGCCGAGGTACAGTGATGTGGAACAGTGCCACACTGTCCCCAACCACGAAGGGTCTCGAAACTACCCTTCACTAGGGCCTACACCAAGTGAAATGTTACACTACACAAAGTAATGTAACTATCTTCAATATCTTGAGGTGTACCCTTTTTGGCGAGCTTCGAAATCACTTGAGGCTTGACACCAAGGCTCGGGCTCTTCATCACAAACTCATCCTTGAGTTCTTGATGGGTCTGCTGCACACACCTGCGACACGCCGAACGTTCGACACAGGACAAAATAGAAACCGCGCACGACAAAATAGAAACCGCGCGCGAGACACAAACGACCGCGTAACACGCGTCCAGCGATAACTCGCTATTGACTCGACACACACACTCGACATCATGACTCAACATTCACACACAATTATAAGCATGAAATATATATTATCCCATGCCCTCATACCATTCCATACACACACACATTCACGCACACGGACAACAAGCCGAGTGCAAACCGTAGGGTTGCACCAACAAACTCCCCCTCGGATTGTTGGCCTTAGGATATGTTGCTCTCTCAGTTCAGAGCCATCCCAGCCAGCTTGCAACACTTCCAATGCTGCTGCTCCACCAGCCTCTTGGTCATCATGTCAGCCGGCTGCCCCGTGGTCTTCACGTAGCGCAACTCAACTTCACCCGCGGTTACCATGCTCCTCGTCCAATGCCACTTCACCCTCATGTGCTTCGTGAGTCCATGCAACACAGGGTTCTTAGCAAGAGCAATGGCACCCTGGCTGTCACAGTACAGTGGGGTAGGTCCTTGCTGCTCCTCCCCCAATTCAGCCAACAAATGCCGCTGCCACACAATCTCCCGTACGGCACGGAAGAGTGCCATGTACTCGGACTCCACCGAGCTCAAAGCTTGGTCAACCTGCTTCTTGCTCTCCCAAGCAGTTGGGCCTCCACC